TCGGGTCGGCCACGCAGGTAGAAACCGCAAGATCTTGCTCCGGACTCGCTACTGGTGGTTAATCTTCATCACGTAATAGAATGAAAGGATTAGACAATTATAGAAATAACCGTGCTACCCCGAGGGACAAGGAAAAGGAATAGTTCCAACGATTTTTTAATCGTTCTACTTTGACAATAATTCTTCCCAGAAGTAAAAGAAGAGCTCTTCTGTATAGGTCGCTGCTCTTCAGTATCAACTGAGTTCAGAACGCAGGATTTTCAAGTGACTTCTGTAAGTTTCTATTCATCCCACGAGTTAAGAAGATGTTTTCTAGCAATCTTCGTTGCCTTGGAAAGACACGAAAGCATGGGACAGATATTTTAGAAGATGTTTTCTATTGATGGGCAATCTTCATTACCTTGGAAAGGCATAAAATATGGGGCAGATATTTTGGGCGTTAAGAAAAAGAAAAGGAACAGAGCAATAAGAATGAACTTTCAGAAGTCGTCTGCGTCCGATGAGTCGAGAAGTTGCTCTCTGGGTGATCTCGGTCATATGTCCGGATTGGAACACACTAGTAGAGAATGCTGAATTTCATTCAAATGAAAACGAAGAGGGATGAATACCGAGTTTTAAAATGTTTCTGTTGTTTATCGCTCATCCAACTCGAGAAGATATTTTCGATCGGTTGGCAGTCTTCAGTACACCTAATGGCCGGGAAAAGTAAATGCGCTGCTGCGCAAGAACAGATCTTGAACGGTTATTGTCCGTCTGATTAGTTTACCCATTGGCAGGGTAATCCTCTTGATGATGTGCCACATTTGGTAAACTCAAAAGTGATTCGGAGTGAAACATAATAAAATGAAATGAGAATAGAATAAACATATAAATTTCATGGAGTCTTTTGGCCTCAATCCAATGTGAGAAGTTTTCACAGGTGGGTCTATCTAGATTCTGGAGACCAGTCCTTGGATCACCCCAAAAATCTATCTAGGGTTTGTGAGCTCGTTAAGGAGATCCACTCATGAGCTGTTCTCCCTGCGGCTTCATCATGCTTCTACAATCGAGTTAGCTCCTGTATCTGGCTGATGATTTGAGATATTGCTGCAGGGCGACTTCAGGTTCCGACTCTTCTCTCTCTCTCGCTGCACTTAGCCCTTTCGTTCGTCCCCAGTATGACTGTACATCATCATTTTCTGCCATTTTTTGTCATCTTCTTCAGCCCATGACAGCAAGATAGAACTTAGCTGAAAGCTAGTCACGTAGCTTAATTATTCCTTCGCGCTTTCTGAGATTTTCAGAGGAGAGAAGATCTTATATCATGCCCCGTCCCATCAAAGTACATGGAGGGCATTTCTTGGTCCTTGAAGGTTGACGAAGGCCGCATTCATCTCTGCCGTATCAAGCAGGGGACACCTTGCACCCTTGGTTCCGTGTCCATTGTCTCTTAGGGCAAACTACCCTTTGGACCATCTTATAGGGGCAAGGATCTTTCGTCTCTCCGAGCTTCGGTTCGTCCGGTCTCCTCTTTGTGAGGAGAGAGAGATAGAGAGATAGAGAGATAGATAGATAGATAGATAGATAGATAGATAGAAGCGAAACCCATAATAATAGGCCATCCTTCTGCATGCATATGGTCCCCCGTAAGCGCTCCTGGAGAACGACGACAGAAGCGACAGCACGGAACGGCAGGAGGGGGGTTTGCTCTCTGAGGTGTGCCCAACCTGTAGTTGGGGCTCACATCGAATCCCGCCAAGGAGAATCTCGCAATGGAGGAAGAGATGGAGGCCGTCCACCGGAGGCCCGCGTGACAGGTGCTGCAGCTCCACCGACTAGACGAGACAGAAGACAAACTCGTCTCTCCCCTTGGTTTTGAGAGGAAGACACCCGGGGAAACGGTAGTGGATGGAAGTGGAGGTTATCTTCTCAGCCGCGCAGTGGTCACGACGGTCGTTAAAATCCTGTATAAGAGGTCCCCGAAGTCTAGGATCCGGCATTGTTGTTCGAGTTCGTGTGCCATGTGCCACGGAGGGGTGCAGTCTTTCCATGGTAGTAACATATTGTGCACATTGGAGAAAGATATCTGTCGCTGACCGAGAGCCGACTGTGAGCAAAGATTGACGTCAAATGTCGACGGTTTTTATTCAAAACTAATCAAAGTTCTCAGTAGCTTGCCTCAATCAAGCAACCCCAGAGATCTAATTGAGCTACTCAAAATCAGGTTTCGATCTTCGCCTTCCCTAGCCCTCATTTTATAGGAAGCCCTCAACGTTTTTATTCTAAACGGATGCTTGAAATTAATAAAATACATTTGAAACCTGCACTAAACAGCCACAAAATCTTTAAGAAATCCAACCCACATCCCAGCGTTTATTGGAGTTCCCTGCCGTTGTTTCCTTTTTGATGTTCACCAGGTGCTTAATCTAGGATCCGAAGATTTCAGTCGACATCGTCTTCTATACTGCACCAAACCCAGATCGCAGCTCTCTCTGGGGTGTCCCTGTTCTCTGTCTTTGTCCGCGGGGGAGACCAGAAAAATTGCAGTGAACGTAAGTTATGAGGTGAGCTAATATAGTCAAAGGTTTGATCATAGAAATTCTGCAGGAACATGGTTCTTTGCCCAAGATCCTAACTCTGCCGGTGAGTTTAGCGTCGACTGGTTTTGTTCATCTCATTACTTGTAGGAGCTCGTGTAGTGATCAGACGCCTTTCATTCCTTAATTCAGTACTATCTTTCGAATAATGTGCCTTTTTTATGAACTACTCAGCTTACCAGCTTAATAATATCAAATATAACAATAACAATCCATTTTATAATGCTCGGATAGAATTCCCAAGTGAGTGTACGATAGTTTTCTAAGAAAAGGACGACGGTGTAGAGATTTGTCGTAAACGAGTGCTTCGGTTCCGAAGAGCAATGACAGTAGAGAGCCCGAGGAAGAGGCCGATCCAGGTAGTGAATTTAACATCGGCCCCACCAGCCGAGGCTGATTGGTATCATGGTGCACTCCATTTCCTGCAATAATCATGGGGCCGACCTCTCTGTCTCTCACTCTCTCTCTCTCTTCCTTCTCTGCATCTCTCTCTTTCTCGATCCTCCCTCTGAAGGAAGAGGATGAACGTCTCTGACATTTGTAATATTATGTGAGGACAGCTGATGAACGGCTTCCAAGAGGGCAAAGCACATGGTTACTGCAGGAAATGGAGAAAGCGAGAGATACGTGGAAGCTTAGCCCAACAGTCCGTCCCATAATCGCTCGTGTAACAAATTCTCTCGCTATGCTTTCTCTCTCTTCTCTACGTTTCGATTTCTTTAGCTACACTGACCCACAGAGATGAAATTTCGTTGCCAACGAGCAAAATATTGGCTTTGTTCATTTTCCACGTAAATCTGAGTCACATTCGATGCAATTCAGACCAAAGTTGGGGAGAATAGTTGGGCAATAGAGACACTATTGTGCACATCATCTACCCTTATGTACGCGATATTTCCCATTTAATCAACAGTCCGCTCTCGTGTATCGTGAAGTCTCTTGGGTGCACTTGAAGAATTTATTCCTACCATGGGTTGTGGGAAGTTTAATCTGGGTTTTAATGTATTTGCTCCCAAAGAAACGCCGCGAATGTAATATTTTTCATTTTTTTAATTAAATATTATAATCCTCCCGGCGAAGAAATGGGCGGCTGAAATTTGTAGACGTAACTCATACAAATTGGCCAAGAAATCCTTGAATAGACCAAAAGAGTTTGTGTGCAACAAATATTTTTGCATTAAATATTTTCCAAAGTGAAGTTTACATTGTCCCGAGTAAATAAATAGACTGTGGTCGCCCCTTTGTCTGGTTCGAGAGGAAAATATGGCGTCATTTTCTGCCCTGATTTCTATCTCAGCTCACCCCCACAATGACAGACTCTCTCTCTCTCTCGCTCGGATAAGGCCATTCCAAAGTACCGCGTTTTCCTCAGGCTTTTTAGCAGATAGTGTGCTGGTCCTGCAACGCTTTTCGTTTTAACCACACCTCTCTCTATCTCTCTCTTTCTGTCTGAGAACGCCATTCGAAGTGGCCCCGGGGTTATTGAACCAGCCCAAGTTGACTGACCGGGCCTGCAGATAGTGTGCTGTCCTCGTTTACCTAAGGCCCCGGGGTTACCTTAGGAAGCACCACACGGGAATCGGGGTCAAGTCTGGGTGACGGGGGTTGGCCTTGAAGGTGACCTTCTCAAGGACCGGGCCAGGTCTACGCAGGGCTAGCAAAGGGTCAGAGGCTGAACTTTCCCGACCTCCAGCCGCCGGAGGGAATAAGCTCGGGGGACCGGGCACGTACGTGTGGCCGCCAAAAAATGGAGCTTTTCCGTTGACTGTCAGGATATGGTTCTTGTCCCTGTCTGGTCAAGTCAGCGGCGGGATGGAGGCTCTGACCGCGAATCCATCTGGAAATCAATGCAAATCCTATCGCCCTTCATCCTCTCTCTCTCTCTCTCTCCCCGATGAAGAGAGTTACGCCGCCCACGTGTGAACCATCGCGGCAATTAATCTCCGCCCGATGACCTCATGGAGTTCTCTTCTGGCTCGGATGGCCCATGAAACCAGGAAAGTCAATCTTCGGGCTCTGGACGACGAATTCCCAACATCGTCTCGGCACCATCCCTCACAAATCACAGGTCAACAAGTTACTCGATTCATGCTGATTTGACCAAGGATTTTTAAATCTTATGAAGCAGATTCACGGGAGGGAGAGAGAGAGAGAGAGAGAGAGAGAGAGAGAGAGAGAGAGGGAGAGAGAGAGGGAGAGAGAGAGGGAGAGAGAGAGGGAGAGAGAGGATTTCATTCATTTTCCATAATAGTTTTAGCTTTACAGATCTCAGGATTCGCACTCCTGGTTTGAATTATATCTACAATTTTGCCTTAAATCTCCACCCACGACGGCGCAAAATGGCGGGCTGATCTACGGAATCATCGAACCTCCTCGCCTTTTCTTTATTCACTTAAATCTGCATAAAGAAAGGCGTCGTCCATCTCAATCGGAAAACGCAGTGAAGTTGAAGGACGCCTGCGTGGTGTCCGCGGAGAACTGTGGGGAGCTGAAGGAAGGGGTCGTATTCGTTGACTGGATCTTTTCGTCCCGCCTTTGACTTCTCACCTTGAGATCCGTCAGGTCGGAGATCAGGCCCGGCTTCATTATCATCTTCCCGTTGACATCCGCCTCCCCGGTCAACATACTAACGACCGTTGACATCGACGGACGGAGTTTTGGCGTGTCCTGAGTGCAGAGGAGGCTCACCTTCAAGAATCTACAGGCCTCCTCCACGTCGAAGTCGCCGTCTAGGGAGGGGTCAACCACGTTGACCAGCTGGTTATTCTCGTGCAGTGCCCATGTCTGAAGCACGAGAATCCCCTGAAGAACGTCCGACTGCAAGACAAGCAGTTTTAGAAAGTCAGTCAATCTTCCATCAGCGGAGTGTCACCGTGAGGAGAGCCACTATTGACCAGGACAGAAAGACAGAGTCAAAGCCCTCATCAGGACATTCGAAGTTCCCATGGTATATGCTTGCCGATTCATTCTTGCACCAAGAATTCAATGGGCTTCAACAGTAGCAAGAAGACATGAAAATATTTTGGCACTAGAAGGTAGGAAATAGAGAGAGAGAGAGAGAGGGTCCACGGTCCAGGGAGGAGAGAACGTCGTTGACCTCGTTCCTTTGTAGGGTTACAGTCTCACGGACAGGCCAAGATATAACATCATTTAATCCATTTATTTTCCCCTTATTTCATGCCGCTCTTCCCTTAAATGAAGATTAAATAATATCCAAAATTATTCGAGATTAATTCCATGAACAGGACTAATGACGATCATCAAGACCCATCAATTCAATTCCACCCAAAATGCGTATGCCCTGCGGTTCCTCTGTTTACTTGGTTATTTTATGGCACTAATCCGACTTCCATGAGGTCAATGAAGCTGATGGAGAGTAAGCTAATTGGAAAGGATCCTGGTTCACCCAAAGCAAACCCCCCCCCCCGCCCCCCCGCCCGTTGACCTGACCTGAGAAGGACGATCTCATGGCCACTTAAAGAAATTTATGAGGCTCGGACTAAGCAGTGAGCAACGGAATGTGACGCAAAGTCAACCCTGTTTTTGTGATGTCTTTGAACCCATGAGTTGAACCCAAGTTTGTCAGGTGATAAATGGCGCATCCCGGAGAAGCAGATCCATGAAATTCCCCAGGTATCCATGACTAGCTACTGCGGGAGCTTTAAGGCATGAAACTGAAGGCAGCTAAGAGTTGAAAATAACCCTCATCGGGCATGAAGCGGAACTCGCATACCTCGTGGGGTTGACTTGTGGGCGATAATTTGGTGTTCGTATTGCTCCTGCCGCTAATTATCTCCAGAAGAAGAACGCCGAAGCTGTACACATCCGCTTTCCGGGTCAAACGCCCACTTATGGCGTATTCCGGCGCTAAGTAGCCCCTGCAAACAATTAATCCAAATCATGGGCTAGAAAGGACGACGAGGATCTCTTCTCAGACGATGGCTGCAACGTACTGCTAGTCAACGGGTGGGTTCGACAATTTTCTCTCTGACGAACGCCGAAAAAGAAAAGAAAAGAAAGGGACAAAAAAGGTCAACCATGGAACTCACATGGTCCCTGCGACCCGGGTGCTGATGTGGGTCATGTTCTGGGGGAGAAGCTTCGCCAGACCGAAATCGGCGATTCTCGGGGAGAGATCCTTGTCCAGGAGGATATTGCTGGCCTTTATATCTCGATGAACAATGTGCGGGTGGATCTCCTCGTGGAGGAAGGCCAGGCCTTGGGCGATTCCGATGCAGATTTTGACCCGCGTGCTCCAGTTGAACTGGATTCCGCTCCGCCGGCCATCTGAAGATCGCGAGGAGAAGAAGAGAAAGAAGGTAAATTTCGGATGCACTGGACGATGATATGCACAGAACTGGAGAGAGAAATTGAGGGGAGAATGAGGACCGAGAAGGGATCTGGCGAGGCTGTTGTTGGAGAGATACTCGTAGACCAGCACTCTGTGATTCCCTTCCACGCAGCAGCCGAGGAGTATGACCAGGTTCTTGTGAACCACGTTGGAGATTGTGGTCAACTCCGACAAGAACCCTTGAACTCCCTGTTTTGATTCTGTCGACAGCACCTTCACTGCCACCGCCGACCCGTCTTTTAGCCTCCCCTGCTCACACCCACCAGCAGATAAATTAAGCCAGATTTCTAGAGAGCGAGAGCGAGAGCGAGAGAGAGAGAGAGAGAGAGAGAGAGAGAGAGAGAGAGAGAGAGAGAGAATGGAATTTTGTACAGTCAACGCGAGCACTATGTAAAATTACCTGGTAGACGCAGGCAAAGCCACCCTCGCCGATCTTCTTCGCGGGACTAAAATTCTCAGTGGCATTCTTCAGCTCCTTATAAGAGAACATCCTAAACTTTTTGATGCCCGGAATTTCTGAAAAAAAACAGAGAGCACAATCAGTTTAAAAACCTTTTTTTTTAGGAAAAAAATATGCAAAATAATCAGGATGTTAAACCTTTGGATGCCCGGAATTTCTGAAAAAATATAGAGCGCGTATTCAGTTTAAAAACCTTTTTTTATAGGAAAAATATGCAAAATGATCATACGCATGCACTTATATATATATATATATCATATTATATCATACTTGGGAATAAATATTCACCTTCATCAGGAGGGGCTGATAATCCCTGCGGTATCCTCTTCCTTCTGAACATGTAGGAGAAGCAAATCATTACTCTTCTGTCCTCCAGAGATGCTCTGCGGGATCAAAAATTTGATTCTGCCCAGCAAAAAACAGTCCAAAGATACCAAAAATTATGAATATCCGAGGGGCGCTGTCAAACTATTGAAAAAAAATGAGAATTTAAAAACCTTGGGCAAGTTTTTTGGTTCCGACCCACGATTCAGAAGAACAGTTGAACCATGGACGGGGATTCATGGCGGTCGAGAGGAGTTCCAGATGTAGAGAGGGAGAGTAGAGAATTGCTCTGAAAAAGGCGACTTATATATTTCCCAATACATGGTGCATATATATTTCAGCACCATACAAGGTTGATGCGGAGGAATTAGCAGGGAAGGATGAACATCGTCCACCTCGTTGTTGAGGGGCAACATGGGTTCCTCCGATCAGCGGGTCAGATTGCATCGTCCGCAAGAAATTAGGCCATTTCTTCGGGGAATCCGCCCCCCGGCGATGATCGAAAGAAAGCCAAATGGTGCGCTAGGGAAGAAGGGAAGTGACTTACCAGTGAAGAAGAGGAAGAAGAAGAAGAAGAAGCCAGGGAGTGGTCAATCTGAAGGGGCACGGAGGCCGGAGGCGGAGGCGGAGGAGGAGGAGCAGGAGGCCTCCTCCCTGGTCAATCTGGTGGGGAACGATTACCCGAACCCTGCAGAGTTCCACCATTCCGGACATCTCTGTAATTTATACTGCCAGCCGCCATAATTAATCCGAAGGGGCTCAGGAACAGGGACGTAAAGATGGGGAAAGGCCGCAGCTTTGGCGGAGCCCCCTTGACTCCTCCACACCACATCGATCGATCAGAGAGAAAGAGAGAGAGCCCATGACGTAGGGCAAACTTACTAGCGGAGAAGAAATGTTCCACGCTGAACGGTAGACCGAGTCAGGCGCGGGAGGTGCCAGAAATCGGTTTACGACACACCGAGTTCCTACTCCACCGGTGGGGCCTCGTGGGACCCGCTTGACGTGCCAGGACCTTGGACGTGTCCACTGCACGACCCTTTTTCGGACGCGTCAAACTCAGTGAGCCAACGCAGGCCCTTGAGTCAGCGTTGACCTCCGGAGTTTTAACTCCCCCGTCCCACCCAATTAATGCTTGGAACCTCGCTTTAAATACCTGATTTATAAATAAATATATTCAATCTTGACCACGGAGGGTCTTTTCTCTTTAAATAATAATTTATTATTATTAAAAAGCCGAGCATGTCATCAGCTACATCAACGGGCCTGTATGGGCCCAACACTAGTTAATTTCTTTAATAAGGCCCGAGAAATAAGGAGGACCTGACGAAAGCGGGCCGGGGTAGGCCTCTCCTGAGCCCATTAGCTCGTGAGAGAGTTCTAAAGCAGGCGGCCACCGGGTCAACTATGGAGGCTGCGACCGAGGAGGAGCGCTGTAGTTGCGAAGCTGACCAGAACATCTACACGGTGGCTAATGCGTGAGCTAGCGGGGACGACTGGTCAACCCGCAGAGTCAACAGACGGACACCCCTCGAAGAGCCCTGGCTTACCGCCTACGACCCGTTCGATCAATTGCCGACGCCCTCCACTCCGTCACAGAAAGAGATGGAGAGAGAGAGAGAGAAACCCATTCAAATACGGAAAGAGAGAGAAGCATGGCAACTCCATGCGCCTCCACTATATAATATATAAGAGTAAATCCGACCCGGGGGGGTGGGTCATCTCAGAGGGTCCTCAGAACCACATGAATGGCAGCAAAACCCTAATTATACAAAGATTAAGAGGGAGAGGGAGAGAGAGAGAGAGAGAGAGGAGGGGCCGGATACCGGAAAAAGACGAAGAACAGCATATACATGCAGATGGAAGGCGCGACCCACGTCAGCCATGGAGGTCCAGCCATGGAGATTTCTTTCTTTCATGGAGGTCCGCCCACCCCGCCATAGGCCTGTGTTTAAAGCTAAAAACTGTGTGCTTCTCTCCCTCGTTGCAGCAGCTGCATTCAGAGAAAGAGTGGGAAACGAAGGTAGATGATGATCAATTCATACTAAGATGAAGAAATATCATGCATAGTTGGTTAGTAGATTATGATGATGATGATGACGATAATGACGATGAATTCATACTAAGATGATGAAAGATCATGCATGGTTGGTTAGATGATGATGATGATGATGATGATGATAATGATGAATTCATATTAAGATTATTTCATATGGTTGGTTAGTAGATGATGATGATGATGATGATGATGATGATGAATTCATAATCAGATGAAGAAAGATCATGCATGGTGAGTAGAGAGGTGTGTGGGGTTTGCTTCTTAGGCAGAAACCTTATGGGGCTGATTCCTCAGGAGGATCTTCTTCCTGAGCCGAACTTGTCGGCACTGTCAAACAGCCCGGCGCCGAGGTTTGCGAAGCCGCCAGAGCTGCCTGAGCCACCATCACCGAAGCTCCTTGAGCGGAGTGAGCCAAAATCACCGGAGCCACTGGAACGCCCAAAGCTGCCACGGGAGCGAGAGTCGCCGCCAAAGCCGCCGGAGGGACTTGATCCACCATATGAGCCGGAGCGGCCCGACCCTACTTCACTGCCACCGCCAGAGCGGCCACCGAATCCTGACCCACCATAGCTGCCGGATCGGCCCCCAAAGCTGCTGGAGCGGCCACCACCGCCGCTGCTACCAAAACCACCGGAGCGGCCATATCCCGCACCGCCGAAGCTGCCCGAGCGGCCATAGCCCGAGTCAGCACCTCGCCCGCCTCCAAAGGAACTGGGAGGGCCACCTCTCAGGCCACCGAAGAAGTCTTCCATTCCACCTTCGGCTTTAATCCTTGGAAGCTAGAACAAAAATAAACAGAAATTTTGGCAAATATCAGACACCCATAAAATAATATCATCTACATGATATATTTAATAATTTCGCCCAATTATTAGCCATGATCACCTCGTTGAACTTAGATCCGATGTCAACCTCGATCTGCCTGATGGCCCGAGACTGCTGTTCGGAGTAAATGAGGATGGCATTCCCCTTCTTGCCGGCCCGGCCCGTCCGGCCAGATCGATGGACGAAGATCTCAGACGTGGTGGGCAGTTCATAGTGAATAACCTGGAGACGGATAAAGAGGATGATGATCAGGAGAACTGCCCGGCAGATCACCCAAGAACAATAATTCAAATAAGAATCTACTGCCCAGGCACTCAACTGAGCATAGGAAACCCTTAAAAAAGTTAATCTCTAGTATCGTAAATCGAATCAGATGATCAAGATCAGAGTAAGCAGGAAATAGTAATATCACCAAAGTATCATTAAAATATATATATTCTTTTCAGACTGTTTTTTGAGATCCTAGAGAGCTTTCAACAATAATCATATGGGGCACTCAAGATAGCGTAGGAACTCATACCAATACCCAGATCTTAGATGCAAAAGGTCAAAAGATCATACCAAGTCAACGTTGGGAATGTCCAGCCCCCGGGCAGCGACATCGGTTGCCACTAGGATATTAAAGTGTCCATCTCTAAAACCAGCGAGCGTTCTCTCCCTCTGACTCTGTGATATGTCGCCGTGCAGAGCCTCGCATTTGTGAGTCTTCGCCATGAAATAGGCCAGCCGGTCAGCATCACGCTTTGTTTGGGTGAAAACAATGCATTTCCCCCCCTTTGCATGCTCCTAAAATGGCAAGCAAGAATGTCATCACACGATAATTAGATGGAATAAGAGGTAACTTGAATGATAATTCAGACAATCATGCACGTACTGTTATCAGTGGGCCAACAATCGACGCCTTTCCATAGTTATCTGATGTGATAGAATAGAGAGTAATCCCTTCTGCCAGTTTCTGATCAGAATCACCAACCTACAGTATAGAAGATTACATAGATTACAAATAGGGATTCTGTCACATAGAGATTATTACACATAAATGATTCTATTGCATATTATGGAAAGAGGATCTATGCACTGATCGATTAATCTGCTGCCAAATTCGAATCGAATGCTTGCGAAAGAAAAATAATAGAATAACTTATTTGCGAAAATGAATGATCTATCACACAAGGATTACACATGAATGATTCTATTACATATAGATAACATATTCTGTAAAGAGCTTCTATGCGCTGATTGATTAATCTGCTGCCAAATTCGAATCGAGTACTTGCAAAAGAAAAATAATAGAATAATTTCTTTTCGAAAATGAATGATCTATCACACAGAGATTACACATAAATGATTCTATTACATCGAGATAACATGTTCTGGAAAGAGCATCTATGCGCTGATCGATTAATCCGCTGCGAAATTCGAATCGAATACATGCAAAAGAAAAATAATAGAATAACTTAGTGTATTGAAGTTCAACACGCAGTAAAACAACTTAGTGTATTGAACCACGCACTCTAAACCCAAAGTACTGCTATGCATATGGTAGAGAAATAAAGAACATAGGCATATAATTAACAATGCATGGATGTGACCGATGGCGTACAATTTTCATTGATAATATTGATAATAACATAGACAACGGGATGGATACTTACAAGATCGATGGTAACTGGGTTCTTCAGGTAAGTCCGGGTGATGTTTCTTATCCAGGTTGGCATGGTTGCCGAGAACAGCATTGTCTGACGATTCTCAGGTAAGCTTTCCATTATTTTTTCAACATCTTCTTTGAATCCAACATTAAGCATCTGATCAGCCTCATCCAGGACGACAAACTGCACTTCTCTCAGATTCAAGGCACCCCTCCCTAGTAAATCAATGACGCGACCTGGTGTTCCAACAACCACGTCGACACCATAATTCAGTGCCCTCATCTGTTGTCCTATGGGTGACCCTCCATAGACACATAATGTATACAGGTTTCCAGCGGATTCTTTGAATTCCTTCTCCACTTGCTTAGCAAGTTCCCTGGTAGGCGCCAGAACTAATGCCAAAGGGTTTTTCCCACACCTGAAAATTTCAGTAACGGATAAAAGGGTTCAGCAGCGAAACGCATAAACTTCTGAATAGGAGGCAAAAAGGGATAACTGGTACGAACCCATTCTTTGCATTGAATTGAATGATTTTATCCATGATAGGAATCCCAAAAGCAAGAGTTTTGCCCGTTCCTGTTCTTGCACGACCGATCATATCACGTCCCTGCATTGCTGGTTCCAGAACAGCCCTCTATAAATGGAGAGAAAATGAATCAGCAACAAGAAACTGGCCACTAAAAACAGGAGACTTGCACCCTTTCAAACTGTAGACACGTGCTAACAAGAAAGATGCCTCATCAACAAGCTGTTAGAAGTTGAGGCATTAAAGAACACAAATAACTTAAAGCTATGAAGTACTAGATTGCGTAATCTGCTGTTTACCCTGGCCAAGACCTTATCCAAAATACTCTTTTCCAAGATAATTCAATTTCAAGTTTCTGCTTCCAGAAATATATATTAATGCTCTATAGAGGGTGAAACGCCAAACATCAACCAGCACTTTTCGATAATCCTGCAATGGTCTAGTGCGAAATTTTCGTCCAACTGAAACCAACAGAAGTCCGTCGGCGCATAGATCTGATGGTTGTTTTAGATCTGATGCAAAGATTCTGCGCCATATTTGCAACCATCAGTCGCAATATTTTGCACCTCACTACGTTCCTTACGCTCCTTAACACTCTGTGTCTTTTTATCTGGCCGGATGTACCATAAAAGATGGTGATGTAAATTGCCCAACATGTACTCGTACGGGTTTGACAGCAGATAATGCTTAGTTGCTAACATATAAGTTACTCCAGCAAGGGATTGATGGATCAATTTTCTGGAGATAGGTTAGTGTTCATCCATTCAATTGACGGAAAAAAGTAACAAGGGATATTAACCGATCAGTGGTCAACCCCGTTCGCTTAATAATAATTAGAATCGATACACTAGTAGCCAGAGGATCACCAACAGGTTTGTGACAACAAGTGAACCTCATCAAAAACAGGAACTCCTCAGCAAGCATGACTCTACAGTTTTTCCCCTCCATCGAATTAAACTTATCGTGTTCATGTGTTTGAAGTCATCAATTCATATGTGGGTCATCCAATTCACCATCATACTGGGTAGAAGAAAAAGGAGAAAGGTGTCCAAACTGGAATTAAGCTCCACCTTACCTCCTGTGTCCCTATTGTTCAGGTTCGTAATGGCAGCATCCACTCAATTAGTTCCCTCCCTTAACAAATCCTAATTGATTCAGACATGGGCTTCACTGTTGGAAAAACCATCTATGACAAAATACGACAAGGCTCGCGGAAAAACATGAGCGAATACGGTCTTGAAGACGTCCACATGACTTTCTTTCTCAACTATTGCGTAGAACATAAGCTGCAACAGATGTAGACTCAACAAAAATGTGGGAACCAGCTGAATGCACTAACATGGCATTCGTAGAAACAAGCATCCCTTTGGCACATAACTCTATGCCTAAGCTTAGACCTACAACTGCAACTACGTGGCATTCGTATATAGACATCAAATTCCTCCAATCAGGTCGACAGCTGCACTGCAGTGACTGGATAATATGGTGAGATTTCCCTTACAGAAACTGAAGACACAACAAAGAATCACAATTTTTTTTGCTGCAAAAACGAAGTTTGATGCCTAGAACCAGCTAAATATTCTTTTTGCTACAGAAAGATAGAGATCCAGATGCTGAAGGGTACCTGAATGTGGTGATTAAAGAAAAGCTCTTCCATATAATTTCGTATATGTAGGTAATTACTCCCAGTACTGTCTCGTAATAATCTTACCTTCTTTAGGACTTGTACGGAACTATATAACTCACTGCCCGTGGTTTCTAAATCATATTCACGTGAACTTTCCGTCATCCGAGTCTATAATTTTAGTGTTCATAAACCCCAGGCGCATCAAATTAGTAAGCCTGAAGTTGAGTAACTCTAATTCACATACGAAAAGGCATATGAATATTCGCGGGAGATTCAATAAAGGAAACAGATCATACATAAGTTATTTATTTCTACAGTAGCAAACTAGAAAAGCTATGAAAAAGGAGTATAGAAAGAGGAAAGGTATGAGAGCTAGTTCACGGGCCAGGGTACAGATCGTGGACCGAAAATTCACCTGTATTGGGAAGAGCTTTGCGATACCCTTGTGAGCCAGGGACGCAACGATCTCGCGTGCGATCCCCAGCTTCGCGATCTCAAGACCTTCATCCGCGGGTGCCGCCCTCGATCTCTCCTCCTCCCAAAAGGGCGCCTCGTCCACGGCGTACTCCGCGCACGAGACGCCAGAGGCTCTGAACTCCAGAGAACCCGCCGAGAAATGGAAATCCCGGCGCCACCCAAGCCCCATCGCCCCCCCAGCGAGACGTCCGCCAAAACGCCGGGCCCCATCCCCGTTGCCCGACCAGGGAGCAACAGCCTGTGACGCCAGCGAGGAGAAGACCGGGAGGTCGGCCGCAAGCAGCGCCGCCAGCGCCTGCCGCGACGCCGGGGCGCCCACGGCCGAGGCAGATCGCCGGATCAGAATGTTCATCTTCCTCGGCGAAGGGCGGCAGGGACGGAAGAGCGTGGAGCAGAGGTCGAGAGTGGCAACCCTAGGGAGGAGCGGGAGGAACGCGTTAGGGTTTTAGAGAGGGCGACAGCGAAAGGCAAAGCCTAAAACCCTCGTCCGAAAGAGACGGCGGAAAGGGGGAAGCAGAAGATATTTATGGGGTCAGCGGCTGATCCTCATTAACGATATGAGCTCAACGTATTATGAGGATTATGACGCTTGCAACACCCCGAGAGAAGAAAAGCTGCAGTATCTCCACCCCTCGTCCTCCCCACGATAAATTATTTATAGTATCTGAAAAATGCGTATGATTTCATTTTATAAATAAAAGAAAATAGGATATTGGGGTTTTTCGATTCAAGCTAGCGAGTTATAGACATCTCAACGGTCACCTGACATCGTAGACGCCCCCAACAGCCTATTTTTCATACATTTTTATTTTTAATTACCAAAACCAACTCTAAGCTGAACAGCTCCTGAACTCCTGGGAAGAGAGAGAGAGAGAGAGAGAGAGCACAACCTGTTCTAGCCCATATCAAGATTCCGTTTTCTTTATCCTGGGCATTATCCAAGAGTCTATATTTCGGGCATTTCTGTTTAGCTAAACCAACTCTAAGTTGAACTCCTAGATGCACAGAGAGATAGAGAGAGAGAGAGAGAGCACATCAAGATCCCGTTTTCTATAAGCTGAGCAGGAGCTATAATTGAGGAGAGAGAGAGAGAGAGAGAGCACAACTTGTTCAAGCCCACGTCAAGATTCCGCTTTTTTAAGCTGGGCAGGATCTAAGCGAGAGAGAGAGAGAGAGAGAGAGAGAGAGAGAGAGAGAGAGAGAGAGAGAGAGAGAGAGAGAGAGAGAGAGAGAGAGAGAGAGAGAGAGCACAGCTTGTTCAAGCCCACATCAAGGTTTAAAGCCGGGGCAGGATCTATAAATGAAGAGGAATGCATCGATGAAGAAATAATAAGACAAGAAACCGATGAAAATCAGAAAAATGGCAAAAAAGCAGCAGCACCACCACGCATGGGGAAATCTGACGGCGGCTTCCAAGCCCAAATATGGAAAAAAAAAAAAAGAAAAAAGAGAAGAAAGAAGATAGGTCAAAACCTGTCCCAAGTCAAACACCAGAGACCATCCATCTTCCTTAAATCGACTCCGATCTATAAACGTTCTCAAGAATCGTCACCACACACAACTGACTCAGCGTGTCCGGTTTTTCCCTTCCAGAGGCAATAACTGCCCATTGATCACATGAAGCACAGAAAACCATAGGGCTAAATATAATATAATAAGATTATAATAATTATAATTGTATCAATGTCCGTTGAGGATGCTGCAATCTCCTTCGGTTCAGCTGCCATACTGATAAGCTGGTTCAGGCTGAGACATCTCTGAGCTCCCATGGCTGTCAGAGGGAGGAGGGCACGGAGGAGATGGGTCTTGGTAGCCGCTATGGTGATGAGGACTGCCGCCATTGTTGTACTGGTAAGAAGGAGATGAACTTGGGTAGTTGTACTGATTTGGGTGGTTCACTTGCTGCGGGGAGCTGCTGTAGCCGTTGTGCTGAAAGGAAGGAGGAGGCTGAGGATGCCCTTCTGTGGGGGCATTGCTGTAGCTGTTGGGCTGGTAGGAAGGTGGGGAATTAGGGTTCTCAAGGGCAGAACTGTTGAAGCCGCTGGATCGGTAGGAAGGTGGGGAATTAAGGTTTTGTGGGGCATAACTGGTGAAGTTGGTGTAAGGAGGGGATTGGGTTGTTGTACCGGGTGCTGCATTGTTGTAGCCGCTGGATTGGTAGGAAGGTGGGGCATTAGGGTTTTCAGAGCTGAAACTGGTGAAGTTGGAAGGCTGGTTTGTACCAAATGTTGCACTGTTGTAGCCATTGGACTGGTAAGAAGGAGGGGAATTAGGGTTCTGGGAGGCGAAACCGGTGTTGGTGTATGAGGGGGAATGGGTTGTGCCAGGTGCCCCATTGTTGTAGCCGCTAGGTTGGTAGGAAGGTGGGGGATTAGGGCTTTCAGAGCTGAAACCGGTGAAGTGGGAAGATTGGTTGGTACCGGGTGTTGCACTGTTATAGCCATTGGATTGGTAGGAAAGTGGGGAATCAGGGTTTTCAGAGCCAAAGCTGGTGAAGCTGGTGTTAGGAGGGGATTGGGTTGTATCGGGTGTTACATTGTTGTAGCCATTGGATTGTGATGAAGGTGGGGAATCAGGGTTTTCAGAGCCAAAGCTAGTGAAGTTGGTATAAGGTGGGGGCTGTGGGTTCCCAGGAATGTTTCCAGCGGCTGAATTGCTGTAGTTACCATACGAAGGCTGGGATTGGTAGGAAGAAGGTGGGGGGTTGTTGGACGCCTGAGGCGGCCTAGGTCGAGCATATTCCACGAAAATAACCCATCCATCAAGAAACTGGAAAGAAATTAGGGCAAACGTCAGAGTAATTATCCGAAATTAAAATATAATTAAACATGTTAGATGATCATAGAAGTTTATAAAAGATTTCAACAACAATACTATGGATATAATGAACGAGATTATACCATCAAATTAAATCTCAGGGAAGAGGAGGGGTAATCATCCAGTATCATCTACTAGACTATGGTAGAGAAGTGGGCTTCTAGAGCAAACCTCTTAGAGATGTGTGCAAGAAAAAACCTAGTTTCTATTTTCGGACTTCATCCTCGGCCATAGCTCAGAGATAAATGGGCAGGGGTTGGGTTCTACACATGATATCAAACTAGTCTAGGGCCAGATTTTGACAGGGTCCAAGGTCAATAAGTTAACAGGCCCGCCAAACCAACAGTTCAATTAATCATCACCTCCACTAATTTTGATGACATATTAAAGAAAGATAATCTTCGGCTAGAGGCCAAATTGGGAAAAAGCCAGTCATCAATGAAATCAATCTCCTGGTTCGTACTATGAAAAGAGAGAAAGAACCACATAGTTCATGCTATCAAGGAAACGAGCAATGTAAAGTATATGCGAGAGTGAGCCAGAGAGGAACAGAGACAGAGCAGTTAACTACCTTGCCATCCATTCCCTTTATGGCTGCCTCTGCTTCTTCTAAGGTAGCATAACGTACGAAAGCAAATCCCTTGGAATATCCTGAGCCGCGATCAGTAACTACTCGAGCTGCAAATTGGTGACCGCTGCCAATTAGAACATTCAGAAAGGTCTTCTGCGGAAAAGTGTAAGGAGTGAGACAGATACCCTGAATAACTTGGCCAAATTTTGCAAATGCCTCTCTGAGTCCCTCAGAAGTAGTCCGCTTGCTAAGTCCTGAAAATCCATTAGCAACGAAACATATGATCAACTCGGTAAAAAATAAAACTAGTCAACAGTTGTTTCATCACCTAATCCTTCATGTTGCATATAAAGAAACGATCTATAAGCAAAATGGGCCAGGATTAATGCCTGCAACTAGGCAGAGTATGCATGTAGCAGAAAACAATGCTTTACGTGGTAGGTTATCCATCTCGTAGTGAGATTAAAAAACTAATCTAAAGCAAATCTTCAAATGAATTGATAAATTTTTTGAAGACACGCCATGAAAATATTACTCGGTTTAAATGAAATGTGTTCTGAAAAGAAAGGAAAAATATGAAGTCATAAAATATACATCTTCAGTGTCCCACTCTGCTCTATTTTCTCGTTCAGCAGAATGGTTAGCCATCTGTCACTTCACCATCTACATATAAATGAGTATTCAATGGTGATCAGGAATCATTACGTCACAAGACTTGGTGCAACATTTTCTCTTCTCTGACTTGTTGTCTTACTACGTGAGAGCACTTCGACATTTACCTGTACATCTGAAAAGCTTTCCGCAGATCTTAGTAAGTTATTATTGTCCACAGAAGTTTAGTTTCATATAATATCCTTTGAACACCATAAAACCCTACACAAAATATCACTACCTACGACGGCGTGGACAGACAACTTACAAGCACGAACGATGAATCATCACGTCCATAACTGAAGAGGAAGGGCGACAGAATGCGCGAATAAGCAGTAGGGAGACTATTACTGATATCTTTTCACTTTACCAGATACGAAGAGGTTCGTGGAGGGTTCCGCTTTCGGCGGCGGGTTCGGCGGAGGCGGGGGATTGAAGCCCGAGAATATGGATGATATACGGCGGATGCTCGTCGTCGCCGTCAACGCCATGGCCGCCGCCGATCTTGTCGCCGCCACTGCTCTGGTCGCCGCCACTGCCCTAAGCGCCGCCGCCATGCTCGGCCGTTGCAGCTCACCTCCGCTCCGCTGATCGAGAGCGGTCCTCAGCTGGCGAGGAAATTTAGTTTTATAGGGCTCTTAGGGCACCCCCCCACCTTCCCCAGACGAGCGTATCTTCCAATGGAGAACTGACACGTAATTTCCAAGTCGGAAAATAAAAAACTGGGCTTTCCCTGGAAACATTAATTTTTAAGTTATTTTCTGTAATTAAGAAGGTGCATTTTCCAGGTCTATCTTAATTTTTTTTAAAAATACGAGTGGTTAATTGTTATCGTGTATAGGGTTCAGCCCGGCCCGGTCTCCATATCTCTCTAAATTTCGGGCCGGGCCGAGCTACACTATGCGGGCTTTAATCGGGTTTCTGCCCTTTACATCAGCGAATGCGAATATGCCACGTGGCGAAATTTAAAGCGACCAACCTGATCCGGGCGGTAGAGGGTGCCTGTCACATCAGGAAAGCTCCAATCTTTGGTGGGGGATGGGGGCGGCACCGTGGGGGGGGGGAGGGATCGCCATCTCTCGGGCTGGTCTTCTGCCAACTGAGCTCCTCGTGGGCGCTCGCAGGAGGGGGGAAGGAGGGGGAGGAGGCAAGGGAGCCGCCATGAGCGCCGCCGTCGCCAAGGTCGCCGTCGTCGGCTGTGGGAGTGTGTACCCACCTACCTTGGATTGTCTCTCTTGGCGTTCTCTGTGTTCGGCTGCGAGTTGCAGTGTACCGGCTGTGGTGATTTGACTCGGTGGGCACTTTTTTGGTTGGCTTTTGCCAGTTTCAGGGGCGGTGTGCGCTTCCCTGCTCGCCGGGAAGGGAATCTCTGTTACGGTGTTCGATTCGGGCCGTGGCCCCGGTGGTAGGATGTCGCAGCGCAGGTTTCTTCTTCTTCTTCTTCTTCTTCTGCTTATTATTATTATGATTATGATTATTATTATTATTATTTCTTGTGGGTAGCCAGTTTGGGTCAACCTGCTTCTATGACGGTTTCATTCGTACTTTGGGGAGGAATTCTCGGTTAATTGGACTGTCGGGATGACTGATGTTGCTCTGCGTGGGGTTAATACGGCGCCATTTTTCGTCCCGCTGATCTTATCAGTTCGATATCAGCCCGTTTGTCGGTTTCTGTGTTTCTTCAGCTCGGGAACTCTGGCGGGCCCGTCCAAATGATTAAGTTCTGCTTGTGATCTTTGTGCGATTTACGGTTGAAATACTTATTTGTTTTGGCGTTATTTTATGTTTTTCTCTTTCGCGTTTTGCATTTGGAAAAATTCTGGTTTAAATTATGACGCTACAGATCGATCGCGGTAATTTTCTCTACTTTTCCTTCTCTTATTGTCTAAGAGTTATTTTCTATTATTCAGATGATCAACAAGAAAAGATATGATCACGGTTATAGTTTTTTCATTTTTCTAATGCCAAATGAGATCTTGTGGAGCTGGTTGATCATCTGAATCCAGATGGTTTTCCTTGTGGGCACACATTCTCCTTCTCATCAGGTCATCAATACCCATAATTTTCCATCTGAATTATGAATTGGTATTATATAAATTATGACATGTTGTTGGACGCAATTGTTTAGTTTTCTCATTTTTATATGAATTATTCAGATGATCGACAAGGCAAAAGATGATCAAAACTGTTTAGTTTTCTCATTCTAATGCCAAAAGAGATTTCGTGGAGCTGGTTGATCATCTGAATTCAGATAGTTTTCCTCGTGGGCACACATTCTCCTTCTCATCAGGTCATCCACACCCATAATTATCAGGAAATCATCTTTTTTTCCAAGCTACCGAGTTGGTTTTATATGAATTATAGCATGTTCTTGGTCAAGAAAAATTTACGTGATGCTGTTACTGCTGACAGTACATAATCATGCTTGCTGTGTGATAAACATTTCAGAGAATCGAGTGATAATGGGGACCTCCTGTTCGATCACGGAGCTCCATATTTCTCCATCAGCAACGAGGAGGTGATGGATGCTGTCAGTTCATGGGAGAGGATGGGTCTTGTTGCTGAATGGAAGGAGAACTTTGGGTGCTTTGATGTGAACATTGCTAAATTCGTGGATCTTGAGAATGTGAGCATCTCTGGCCCTGGTTCATGCTTTCAGTCGCTGTGCCATTCATTCTTTTCCTCACCTGCATTGCTATCATTATAAGCTTTACTTCCCAGATCGCCTTGTGAAGATGCCCATCCCTTTATTTCCCTCCAGCATGATGCTTTGACATCCATGTTGTCTCTAGTAAGTTTCAGTGAGTCATCTACTGAATCGTAAATATATTCATCTGCCAAAACTATGTTTTAGGACGGCTGGAATCATAAATACATTCATCTGCTGAATCATACATTCATAAACACATTCATCTGCTGAATCATACATTCATAAATAAATACATTCATCTGCTGAATCGTAAATACATTAATCTGAGAGAATATCTCCCCTGATGTGCTCACGTTGTAATCTCTCCGAATTAAGGAGGAAATATTTATGTTGGTGTTTCTGAGCACCTGGTTTTTTTCATCAGGATGGGCAGAACAAAAAAAAATATGTTGGTGTTCCAGGCATGAATTCTATCTGCAAGGCCCTCTGCTATCAACCTGGTTGGCGCCACCTTTTTTTTTTTCCTTTTATTTCCTGATCAACCTGGTCATCTACTGAATTTAACGTAACTGGATTCTATCAAGATTTTTTTCCAATCCTTTTTAATCTCCAGGTATTGAAACCAAGTTTCAGACCACTATTGGGAAGTTAGATTGGCTGGAGGGAAGGAATTCGTGGCTGTTAAGTGGATCTGGTGGTGAAAACTTAGGTCATTTTGATGGCGTGGTGGCTTCAGACAAAAGTCTGTTTAGTTCAGCACATACTCCCCTCACTGGCCGGCCGCCACCTTTAGGTTTGCTTCTAGCCAGAATACTGTGGGTCATATATTTAATCTCTCAATGGCTTCTCTTCCTGTCTTTCATGATTTATTCATCCTTTTTTCCAAATAAAACTATATGTAAATTTTCGTTCATTATTGTATAAAGCTCTTGGAACCAACTGGGTACACCGAAATTGATCCATGAAAGATCTTAGAGGGCTGTTTGCGTCTTGAGAAAGCCAGTCATGGATCATATTAATCAGAACTTAGGCCAGCACCAACCTAGAGAGACGCTGATGTTCACAGTAGAAAGAGAATAGAGGTTCCCTGATACCCAGACGAAGGAGACTGACTGCTGTACATGAGCATGTGTACCAAGCTACGTTCCATGGTACTCCTGCATGTTCTATTGGCCATGAATCATGCCTCTTTGACTACAGCATGTCTTCTGAGAATCGGCAAATATATGGTTTAATATATATACTGGTGTTCTGGTACTATATTACTGGGCATGAGTTATATATCTTACGTTGTCCAGGTTGGTTTAGCCTCTGCGTCCGCCTCTACAGTGCTGCGCAATGCTTGAGAGATGTCCTTCACTGCTTGATAGATATGTGCTGAATGCCTTTTGATCTCACTTCACTGCTCATCCGTCTAGGTTATTTCTTGTGTATCTCTGTCGTCCAGAAAACGCTTGGTTCCTCGGCTCCAAGTTCAAATTGCTACCCCACTCATGAAGACGATCGGTCGGATTTTGAACCGAGACACTGCCTATGAATCATGCAACATTTCTTCTAAAAAAATGGCAATTTATGGTTAAATATATATATGTATATACTGGTGATTCACAGTCTTATAAAAAGAACAATTTTTGAATGCAAATGTTGCCTAATCTGGGCATCTTGGGTGAAGTGATGTGATTTAAGGCTAGGAAATCCCAGGCCGAACCAAATACTGTAAAACCTCAGCACCAGCTTTCTAGCATTCAAGTCATGTCTAAATTCTTTGCACTCTGACCTTTCGACACTGTTTTTGTTTTTTTTTTTTGGGAAGCTTTCTGCTGTTAGCTGAGGATGTTTTTAATATTTTCTCATAAAACTAATATATATTTTTTTATCTGGGCTTATCAGATACCACCTTAATCCCAGAGTTGGCCGTGAAGCTGCAAGATATCCCTCGCCATCCATGCTATGCTCTTATGCTAGCTTTCTCGGAGCCTTTATCACAGGTAAAACATCTGCCTGTTCATGTCTATTTCTCTCCGAGTAAAATGCTCTGTTGTAAAGATCTTCCGATTGAACTTCACATGCCATCTACAACACAGAAATGTGTGTCATTTTGAGAGCCGCGGTCAACCGTTTGTTAAATGATTGCTAATGATCCCTGATTGGCTCAATTATAATAAAATTAAAGAGACATTACTTGTTATGACATGGCATAATTTTTCTTAAAAGATAGATGTTACGTTCTAGTAATACTATGAGCATTATGCGATCTACTTCAGTCTGGTGTTTCGACTTTTAGTGAGATATTTACTAATTCAGTATATCTCTGCTGCTGGCAGGCATCAATTTATTGAAAAAAGGGGATGGAGCAGTGCAATGTAGAATAATCATTCTGCATAATAGAGTTTGACCCACAAGAATAGCTGTAGCCTTGGCGGTCGTATGAGGTCTCCTGATCCAATCCAATAACCTACTTGGAATCGAACCCATGTCATCAAAAGTGAATGAATTTTGGGCTCATTATAACATGGGATATTTAATTCAACTTGTATAAAAGATTAGGTTGGCTTTAAAAAAGAAAAAAAAGAGGGAATGTCCCTGACCCTCTCCTTTGCTTTATCATCCCTACTGCTGCTTCTATCACTTGTGCATGATCTGATGCCGATGAACGCTTGTCTTGAATTAGTACTGTCTCTCAGCAGTTTCTCATTGGTGTCAAATTGTCTCACGTTAAAGCTCTCCACTTATAGAACACTTATAGAAGAAGGCTTGTTATTTCGTATTTCAGGTACCCGTGAAAGGTTTCTCATTCAAGAATTCTAAGGTCTTACGCCACGCATTTTGTGATTCTAGCAAGCCAGGTCGCCTCCTCTCATCTTCCAATTGGTAGGGTTTTGTGATCAGAAGTTCTTCTGCGTCTTCTTGCTCAAACAATTTTCTTTTTAAAATTCCCACTTTGTGACGGACGTTTTCTTTAGTTTATCTTACACATTTTCTTCCATTTCCAGTGAATGTTGGGTATTGCATTCGACTGCTGAGTATGCTGCTGGCATTATTTCCAAAACTGGAATTAAAAAACACACCTCTGCCGCTCTCATTGAGATTGCAGAAGAATTATTCCGAGAATTCGAAAGCACGGGGCTTGTCAGTTCTCGCCCTTTCTTCATGAAAGCTCATCGGTGGTAAGTTTTTTCTCATCTCCCAAAACTCTGACTTTTTTCTAGTCAAAAGATGGGTTAAAGTGGAAGATTCTTTTTCTTAATTTCACTTGTTTCCAGTTAAAAAGGATTCCGATCTGTATTTATTTTCATCTGCCCAACAGCTGATTTTCCTCTGAGCCCACTCATTCAACAGCTGAAACTCATCTAGGACATGAATCCTCTAATCGGGTAAGCTCAAATACGAATAGTAATGGGATGTGTAATTAGTTTTGGATTATCAGGTATGTTTGGAGAGCTTCCCTTATAAGCAAAGCGTTTCGAAATAGGATGTGATGTAGTTAAGACAGAGCTACTTATAATAGAGCAAGGACTAGTATGGGGATGGTTTTGTGGAGAAGCAAATCGCCATTTAGTCATAGAACGATGCCACTTTTCTTTGGGTTTTATGCTTTGAGGGACAAGAACAATAAGGATAATTCGAGGTATTACCTAGTTTGGTGATCTAGTTCCAGTTTCTACATCTGGAACTAGATTTTAGCTTATTTCTTATTTCTACATCTGGTAATCAAAGCATTGTAAGATCTAAATATAGATTTTAGCTCTCATGATCACGCTTCCATTGTCCTATGCCTTTGAGTTTGAAGGGTGTGTCATATAAAATTATAGGCTAGAGTGGTGGGCAATTAAAAAATAAGGCCATATTGCCCACAGGGAGTATCTGAAGTGAGAGAGCTTAGTTGAACCAATCTAAGAACAAGATGATACTGAATACTAGATCAGCCGTGATAATATGAAGATGAGGATAAAGACCATAGAAGCAGTTCGAGATGGTTTGAACATGTAAATAAAGGCTGACGGAATCAAACGTAATGCAATGAAAATCGAGTTTTTATGAAGTTTTTTATTTGAATTTATTCATATTAGCAACCGTTCTTCCACACGTTTTCCCCTCAATGGAAGATATATATATTTGGTTTCTTACTAGATCATTCATCGCATATTCAAATATGCATCGGAGAAATCAAGTTAGTTAGAAATTCTACATGAACTAGCCACTGATTTTTGTTTCCTTGTGTTTTAAATAAGATCATATGCTGAATATTTGCTTGTCCCTGAAAACTCTCAGGGGCAGCGCCTTTCCGGCTTCCAGCATCGGTGGGGAAGCCATGTGTTTGTGGGATGGTGACAAGAGACTGGCCATTTGTGGAGACTTCTGTGTGAGTCCGGATGTTGAAGGGGCTGTGCTCAGCGGGATGAGGGCGGCGTCCAAGCTCTCCAGCCTCCTGAGCTGCTTGTGATCTTCTCTAGCTTTCTCATTTGCCGAATTTCGACAAAAGTACCGGAGAAGAGGGTTCTAGACGTCCACAATCTCTCTCTCTCTGACACACTCTTTCTCTCTCTCTCTCTCTCTCTCGATCTCTCTCGCTGGGGATGAAGTTGGGGGATTCCAGGAGAGGAAAGGAGTCCCTTTCGCGGGTTCCTTGCCACAATGGTGGGGACCCATTAGAATGTTCACGTTATTATCTTCACGAAAGATCACAAATTGGTTGTAGTTCGGTCAGTGTCAACAATTTGTGGGTCCTTCTGATAATGGAGGCTGGATATATATGATCATGCTCAACTGAAAGGTTAATGGAAGGCATCCTCCTCCCTTCTGTTCCTCTCTATCTCTTCATGAGTGTATATGAAAAAATTGAATCTGAAATGCAGCTCATGCAGATGATGGTCTTCGTCTGAAGAAAAATTGCCAGTCAAAGCTCCGGGAACAGCTCATCCCTTCTGTGGCTTACGGCCTCCCGGCTTATCCTCGCTTCTGGGAATTCCAAGCCGCCAATACCATCCTAAATAATGATCGGAAGGCCATGATTCTCATGGTGAGAAGAGGAGTAATATGGTCGCAGGATCTTAGATAGATAGATAGAAGAGAAAGAGAGAGAGAGAGAGAGAGAGAGAGAGAGAGAGAGAGAGAGAGCTCCTGGACATTAAGCTGTTGATTATCACATGATTTGTATACTTTCAGGTCAATTTATGAATTCTTCTTGTGAAATCCCTCCCCACCTCTCTTTCCCTGGCTGTAATCTTCCTGTTTTAGGGAGCTCAGAGTGGGGATCACCCACGTGTTTAAATGGCCCTTATAAGCAGGCGTTGACCGATTCTCTACATCGTGTCCAGTCGTTAAATTCTTCAGGTTGCAGGCACCGTTTCTCCGAGAAGCCCGGAAACTATTGACGTGTTTCTCTCTCTCTCTCTCTCTCTCTCTCTCTCTGCCACCACCCGCTCTTGCTCCTCTACATAACTCCGTCCTCCCTGCTCCATCTCCGAACAACTCGCCCCAATCTTAAATCTCCATTGCCTGACTTCGCTCACAGGCTGCCCGAAGAAGAGAAAGGAGGAGGAGGAAGATGTCTACCAAGAAGCTGGCCGTTGCACTACTGGCGGTGGCGATGGTGCTGGCGATGATCGGCATGGAGACGGCGGAGGCGAGGACCTGCATGCAGGTATGTATGCCGGAGTGCCTGAAGATCAAAGGGACCACAATCAGAGACTGCAAGCCAGCCTGCAAGGAAGGCTGCGAGCCGGCGAATAGTGGTAGCGTGTGGAAGTCAGGCCAAAATGTTCCGACGTAAGCTCGCTGAGATCGATGATGCCTTCGTGACGAGCCTTGGGGGTTGAGTTCCCTGATTGCTACCCTTCCCCGTCGAATTTCTTGATATTTTTTTTCTATTTTTGTTACGAGGTGAGGTTTCTCACTCTAGACCCGACTAGAGATCAGACTAGTTAAAAACGTCTGATCCTGAATAAGCCTCCGAAACTATGCTTGGTATTGAATTCTTTAGTTTCAAAGCTGATTGATGTCTTTGCAATAGAGGTGTCAATGGGCTGCGCAAGTCCAATGGTTAGATAATCACGACTTGTTATGTCATTCTCATCTCCTCTCTCTCTCTCTCTCTCTACCCCTCCCTACATCATATTCGTCTGCCTGGTTTTTGATCCCATGCCCTTGCCTATAAAGCACTCCCCCTCCTCTCGTTGCCGTATCGATAAGCATTAATCTTTCTGGCGCTCTCCTGACCATCACTTAGACATGGGCATGACACAACGGTCATTGCAGTGTAAACCCTAAGACGAGCCTCCTGACATTGGTCCCCATGCAGGTTTTACATAAATCAATGCCACAATAAACCACTATTCATCACTACTAAGTCAAAGCTGCCCCTCCCTTCCAACATCTATACCGAAATATTTTAGTGAGAGAGAAAGAGAGAGAGAGAGAGAGTATGGGGACGTTCCGCAGCAAGGATAGGTACTCCTGTCTCGTCCGCTCAGTGGGAAAATGCATGGAGCAGGAACTTTGCGCATGTCCCTAATATGAATAGATTGTGCGCACGTAAAGTGGGCATTGGGCGTCTATCCTATCTCGCATTTGCTGAGTGGAGATGCGGCTCGTAGATGGCTTCTCCCGGGTTATTCTGCCTGTGGATGGAAACACGGCTACTACCCTAACTGGAGCGATTGCCGGAGCTGCCACTGCTGATCCCACCAAATGAAGATCAAGATCACAGTGGACTGTCCTTGTCGCACGGTTCAATCACTTGACGATTGTGTTGGGTCCATTAAAAAAATCTGAGCAGACTGGATTCAACTGCCCAGCAACCGAACTCCTGAGTTGATTCACTAGGGAAGGTCCCATTATTCGAATTGAAATACGCAACGTATGAAAGTAACAAAGAAAAAGATTACAGCTGCTGAAATATGAAGAAGATTTAAATGGATAGTTTCTCTCTATGAGTCGAGGTCGAGGGATGTGCAATCGAGTCAGCTTCTTAGACTGGCCGGACAACAAAATGCGGGCAGAAGGTGAACTCGGCGGACAGATAATATTATGCTATTAACGCTATCAAATAAATATTTGCATTTGGTTGCGAAACTATTTGCATACAAGAGAGAAAAAGATGACACAACAAGATTTAGCGTGGTTGAGAGACTCTTCCGACGTCCACGGTCATAAAAGCCTGTTCAGTCATTCTCCACATATTTCCAGCAACCCTTGACTTTCTCCCACCCATCCAACAGCGAGTCACTTATAGTGCTCTCCTCGATTCCTCTTCTCCTGATCCATCGACTGAACCAGCGGAAATCTACCGACTAGATTTTGCCGGAGATTCCAGGATGGTTGGCCATGGGAGGAGCCATTTAGTGAAAGAGAGGATTCAAGCCACCAATTTGAACCTGGATTTGGTATCACAACAGCCTCCTCCAGAAAACAAGGAACAGAATGCACGCATTCCGCATGCTGTAGTAGAGGATGGAGCTGATCTTTTGTGGGCTCAGCTGAAGGCATCGTGATTTAGCTGATCCCCTGGCATGTTGATACGACAGGTCTTAGGTCATCAATCAGGATGTTGGGTACTCAGAAAGATAAAAAAACTGACGACGAGGTTTGGCCCAGAGATTTAATCACGAGTCTCCATTTGAATTGGTCAAATATGTGGCTATTCTACAATCAGGAGCTTGAAGAAACAAGAACTAAAATCGATAAATTTGGAACCTTGCGTCTGTTCGCCTCTATCAAGTGCAGTGTGGGTGGAGCCTCGAATCCTGGCGAAACACTCATTTCTGCTTTTATATGAATGGTGAAGACATACTGTGTCATGCAGCCGAGTATAGGTGTTTTACTTAAGCTTCATTTCTGCAGCCTAGCACCGAGTTAATACAAAAAGAGCGCTACTCCTGGTACTTGGTTTCCAGAGATACGGTCAAATCCAACCGGTCTTTCTCGCAACGAGGATAAGAAAAAATATCATCCTGTACAATTGATTCTCGATTATAGACTGAGGAGTCGACATCCTCACATGTGTGCATGAAAAATGGGTAAAATTATTTATTATTCATTTGATTGAGGGCGCATGTTTATTCATCCGAAAAAGGCTGGCTTATTTTCCTGCAAAAATATAGCACGGGAATCACGGTGGCGTACACTACATGACCTTCCTGACTGGAGAGAGAGAGAGAGAGAGAGAGAGAGAGAGAGAGAGAGAGAGAGAGAGAGAGAGGGCAGAAAGAGTAGAACAAGGAGGCGAAAGGAGCCATGGGTAGCAACGGGACTACTGGTGGGAGGACGGCGGGCTCTCAGTCTTCACGGCTACATTCTGGATGCATTGGCACTCGCTCGTGCGCAGAACGCAGTTGCCGTTAGTGTAACCTTGCTGGCGGCACTCAATCTCGCACGCGGTCGAGTCGCAGACCCCCCTGGCGCAGAAGCAGGTCGCAGTCACCTGTGAATAAACTGCGAGAAATCCCAAAGCAGAGACTAAATATTAGCAAAGGCTGGAGCAGAAGGGAAAGCCAAGAGCAAGAAGGTGGCACGATTTCTTCAGAACTACGGATGAAACAGGTCACCTGACGGCAGGAGGACAAGCAGCAGGAGCCAGCACAGTGAGGCGGATGCGCCCTTCTTAGCTTCCATGGCAGGTGAAAATCTAGAGAGTTGGGGGAGTAAGGGGGAGAGAGATGCGAGAGAGGAGAATAAGATTATCAGTGCGCTGAAAGGTTGTCCAACGACACATATATGGAAGAGAAGGTGGGAGAGAGAGAGAGAGAGAGTCCGGGGTACCCCCCGGAGCATTGTGATTCTAAACCTGTATATTTATTACCTGATACGGGAATAATGTACTCATATCTGGTGGAAATTGCCAAATCTATACACGTATTTATTTTGACATAATTGAAAGGATTCTACGAATAAATTTTGAGATTATCTCATCGAATGGGTATGGAGAGAGATTTGAACGACAATCCATATATTGTTAAACGGAAATCCACCTTTCCCAGCTGTTCTCCTTAAGATTACTTTCATTCTTTATTAAGAATTGGTCCACAACTAGATTTTCCTTCCGAGATTCTTGGAGATATTTGTTGAAAGGATCAGGAGTGGGATCATTGTTTTTCATAATGAGATGTCATACAGAACTTTTGAGATAATCTTGTGTAATATAGTCAATAAAAACATCTTACTGATTTCTCCCATTTGATGCTTTTTACATTCTGAGTTGGAACACTCTATCAACTGGCGTGGGTGAGAAATTCAACTGCTCTTATCGCTTGTCAGTAGTAAATGATTTGATGAGAAATTTCGAAGTTTTCAATTCTCAAGTGATTACTGTCGTCCGTAAAGAGAGGGAGAGAGAGAGAGAGAGAGGACGGGTTGAATGATAGTGACAAGGCAGCGGATGTCAATACAGATGCGACGGAGATGACCCAGAAGGAGACCGTAGTGCCGGTGAGGGAGCTACGGGCGGGAGGTGACCTATTCGCCGAACGCGCCATAAACGATCAGGAGGGACTCGCACCTCGCGTAGTTGAAAGCCTCCGCACGGAGCGAACTGTTGCAGCCAGAGTCCACACAAGTTCACTGTCATATCAACTCTCTGACTGGCCGAATCGGTCGTTCTGCGAAGACTGATAGTGTACTACAGGCAGATAAATGTAGACCTCACATCATTAGGAAAGGAAGAGAGATGAGACCTGTTCTCGATGACAGCAGGAGCATTAGCGTAACTGAGAAGATGATGAACAGCGGGCTTCTTCAACTCCGTGGGAATAGTACTGGATTTTTGTTCTCCAAATAGCAAAGGGAGGAGGATACCCTTTGACATGTCACGGTTAGAGGGCGGAGATCTGTAGAGATGCCGTTTGTCTGCTGGCTCTATCTTGTCTATGACCAGCTCTATCACTCAAATTGGGCCCACATTTATCCACATAACATTTTGTTTTTTCGAAGGTTTGACAGGATGCAATGGCTGAGTTTCGTTCAGGAACTTGGGTTTCTTACTAGTCAAAGTCTTATACTTATAACTTGCATCACAGTTGGATATTCTATATCAAAAAAAGAGGACTATTGTTCTTCCACATTAAGCATCAGCTAGGGTCAGGATCAGGATTAGATTGTCCCTGAGACCAAGACAGGATTACTTCAAGTTTACAAAATAAAAAAGGTCATATCTCATTTCATAAAGAAGTTATAGTCACAATTAATCAGTCTTCTTCTTCTTCTTCTTCTTCCCATCAAACAGACAGTTGGCAATTTGATGGTGGCCGGCAGCAGCAGCTAGAATAATGCTAGTCGATAATGACGACAGCAACATCAGGGACAAGTATGGGATTGGATCATGAAACCCACTTATTTAGCTCGAAAATATGGTCATCGGATCAAGATTTGGTTGTTCGATTATATGTTCTATGTCTATAGATCTGTGGATAAACAGTGCTAAAAAATAGTATTAAATCTGACTTCGTCTTTCCTCTCTCTATGACTTTTCTTTCTCATTTTCATGAATTCGTATGATGGAGAGACAAAGAGAGAGAGAGAGAGAGAGAGAGAGAGAGTTCCGATTTATTGCATGCTCTATGATTCTGCAAATCGGGCGTTTTGATCTTCTGCTCTAGGAATCACATTCATTACTCGCGAAGGTTTGCCTTATCGAAGCAGATGTGCGGCTTCAGAGGTAATGATTCAGGGTGAAGCAGGGCTCTGAAGTCACCTCTTTGAACAATGCGTAGGAGATGCCACGTCGGAGGAAAAGAGGTGAACCGTCACATTGGGATACGAATGGTGCTGCGGTGGCAGTCATAGTCATAATGGACGTTCCTCCATTTGCCTGGTTCCTTTGTTCAAAACATGTTCACTATGTGGTTTCAAGCGTTGTGGTCTCATATCCAGATATCCATAACATGGCGGGCGTACACAACCAATGTATGGCACATTCTATTGAGCGAGCGAGAGAGAGAGAGATAGCATCATTTAGCAGCGAAGGAACAGGAGAGGGGATGAGGGTTACGGGTTCCAGGAAACCGGGCTCCCGGCCTGGTCGGTGCGATCCTTGATGCAGTAGCAACGCGCAATCATAGGCTCGCATACGCCGACATCGTAACCCAGCTGCTGGCACGGTTTATTGCAGATATCCAGGTCCCGGCACGATTTCCCTCCGCAGTCGCACGGCGGCGAGAGCACCAGTGGCCCTGGCTTTTCGTTTGCATAGACTGGGGGCGGTGTGTGTGGGAAGATAGAAAGTAAGAGAGGAGAGTGAAGGTGATAGGATTCCTGAGGCAGAGATTAGCTTTCTCACCTGATGATAGCCCCAGGATTAATAGGAGGCAACACAGAGCAATGTTTCCTTTCTTGCTTTCCATTAGAGCCGGAAATCGTCACACCCCAGCGAGAGAGGGAGAGAGGGGAGAGGAGGGGAAGAGACCGACGTCACCGAGATGGGAGGTATTCCTCCCGGGACTAATATATCCAACAGCGAGAAGAATTCTCATAATAGATACGGAAGATACGACGCAATTAAGGCCACGGATTTCCTTCGTTTTCAAATTTATATGGAAGATACCGCTTCCACATTAAAGGAAACTTCTGTAACCGTCGTCCATTAATTGCCAAATAGTATGCCGAGTATCCGCCTCAAAAAGTATAGAAACGGGGGAGAAGTCCTTTTTTCCGAAGTTGCAACACCAACAACTACATTGTGGATGATTCACGACGCAGCTTGTAACCTTCCCCCCCCTCTAAATAATTATACGTACTGAACCAGTGGAAGATTTATTCATCATATATTTTTTCTGAGGGTCTAGACATATATAGCTGTTAGCGGTACATTGTCAACCTAAATGAAAGGACACTCGTCGTCACCTTTGATTCTTCTGGATATCCTTTATTTCCCTGCTTAATCTCTAATCTCTAACTTAAGGGGAGTTTTCGACAAACGCTGGGACCCAATCTATTTTTAGTATGTATGCATAGATGTATTCTCTAAATGCACAATTTTTCATTGCAGAAAATTACAGGGAGATCTTATCTGAATGCATCGGATTTGAAGTTTATTTTTTCGATGACTCATGGAGCCAGTTCTATAGAGGGTCAAGATAGAAAAACCAACCAGGCAAGTTCGTGTTAACTGTTCGCGAATCAGATCTATACGCCTTAGCCTTCTGCAAATTTATCCAGCAGAAGGGGAGGCTGTAAACTACAATTTCCAAGAAAACCAAGTCCCGCGGGTATTCAAGCAACACTTTAACATTCCAGTCAGATAAGACCATCTCCTATGATTGCTCGGTATCTCTTACACTGGGACATCCTAATTATTAATGGAAATGGAGAGGGCGAGAAAGGGAGAGACGGACATATGACGGAAAGAGAGATGATAGCGCAGATGTAGATGGCTGCAATCGAAACGACATAGAGGGAGACATTTGGTAACACAGGAGCTACGGGCGGGAAGCTGCCGTGCTCCCTGCCTGCTTGCCGGCACATGGCTTGAGGCAGAAGCACCACTGCCCTCCAGGCACCCCGCATCTGCCGGACTGGGAACCCTCCGCTTGGCATGCAGAAATGCAGCGGTGAGCCTCGCAGGGTCCAGTATAATACCTACTTGTCTCCGAACAGATCCAAGTCTGTCCTTCGGTGAAAGCTGAAATCATGACACAGGACGATATTAGAAGCCTAGTACAACGACTGAGATAAGGGGAAAGCCGGATCTTTTCTGCTAGATAGGAGAGTTGTTACCTGTTGAGAGTAGGAGAGTAAGCAGCATAAGGGAGCACACAGTTGCAACACGCATCTTGAGCTCCATTGGGGCTGAAAATCCGACCTGTGTAAAGAGGAAGAGGACAGAGGGAGAGGGAGACCCTTGGACTTTTCCCAAAGGACCATATGGTGCCTAATATATACACAGAGACATGGAGTAGGTTCAAGCCTATGCCCCTTGTTTCTCGTAGGATCAAAATTCTGGATTTATGCATTTATTGGGCAGATACGCTGTCCATCGTCTCATTGATGATGGTACGATACGGATCATGATAATCTTTTACATCTGGAATGGATTTACACCCACAATAAACTGTGGAGGTTTCGAGAGTAACCACAATGATTTGAGGCAGGTAGTGGTGTACTTCGAGAATTATCCCAGTGCATCCCTAAAAGGTTATGCGATTCTCGTTCCGTAGACTTACTCTGAAAGTGCATGGACTACCATAAATCATTAGAAAAAAAGAAGAATGTTACGCAATGTATCTCTATTAACTGCTGAAGGACAGATGAAATAGAGCGAGAACTTAAAAATAGAAGGAAAATTTAAACTTTAAAAGATAAGAGCGGGAAGAGATATGAAGTAAAAAAATGTAATCAATAAAATAAAATGAAAATATGTTTCAATAAAATTTTGCATATAGGCAATGACAATAATATGTTTGCAAGATAAAAATTTATTTGAAATCCTCTAAAGTACGAGTTGTCATAAGAATTTTCAACTCAAGGTCAATAAACTGCTGCAAGAAAGCTTCATTATCCGCAACTATGAGGTGACATTTATTGAAGGAGAGTTGATGCTTGATATTTACTTGATGTCTCATTCGTTGATAATAGAATGTAGATAAAAACCCTCTAAAAATTGAAGTTACTATAAATTGTTTCTCTCTTGCATGATCACCTTAATCATTAATTTCCATATAATTAGTACTGATTCAAGCCTCCTCCTCGTGGTCCCTCCGCGGCCTCATCAGACTCAATAATATCCTTTCACAGCGTTCTCGTAGAATGGAAAATGCAATACTTTAACATTACATCTTACTTGCTCGGATAATAATTTTGAAAAATAATATATACGTGGCATTTAAATATTTGTAGGTGTAAGTAATCCTGTATATACCTCCTTTGACACCTTAAGATTTATTGCAATCCTCAAAACTCATTAAATTTAAATTCAGCTCCATCGTCTGACCTGAGTGAGATACTGCAGTTGTCTCCTTGTTTGCTTCTTCACCTACTATGGTTTGAACCTTGCAACAACCTTTTGTTTTATTCTTCAGACATACAACCATATTCTCGGGGATAATCATAAATGTATGTGACAAAATACTGCACCTTTTCTCTTGGTGGTAACGGAGTTGGGCCATACACATTCCCGTGCAGATAATTAAGAATATTTTTGGTGTTGTAACTATCTATATTGGATGTCACTTCGCATTATTTTCAATTTAAGAAATATTTGCAATAGATGAGTTTACCTCGTTCGCTCATGTAAGCGAGCTGTATATATACCATACGTCCATTTCGTCGTTCTCATCTTTGAATATTCCCAAAGCCGCTCATCTTCGATCATATCTCCACTTAGATTGCACTAATTTTTTTGACTCTTTTCCTTGAAAGGCTTGTACCCATTTGAGTCTAATACGCCCAAGGATTTAGATTCTTTTGAAACTCGGATAAACGTCTCACCTCGATAGTTGTTTGAATCATTCTCTCAAATATTTTCAACCCGATAGTTACAATTCGGATAGTCCTACAATCTACGTCATTTCGCCTTAGTACAGACCCGCCATTGTACGATTTCTGTCAATCGGTCCCTTGTTTTGTACACGTGCAATGAACATCCCGAATTTAATATTCAAAATTCACCTACATAGTTATGTTCAATATCACAAACAGAGCCTTATCACTCTTGCGGTGGTCTACCACAATGGTGGCTTGATCGGATCGTGTGGCCTTCGATGACTCCATGTCCGTCCTTGTAAAAATACCAGCAGCGTGCCTCAGTCTTATCCTCGCTTGCATACAAGTCTATGCCGCTGACATTCATTTGTGGTCAGCTTCCTCCTGATTTAATTTGATAACAGAGCCGCTGTCACGTCTTCCATATCGGGTATTTGCCGTAGACCACAGTTATCACCGAAACATGCCAGCAATAGAAATGCTTTATCCTCTACGTTGACCTTGGGCTCTATACCTAATAATTGAGATATATAATCCTACCATTCATACTCAAATGCCCAAGTTGGTCTAAACCTTCTTTCATCTTCAATGTGTATAGTTCTTGCTTCAGGAGTAATTTTTTTTTAAGAGATCACTTCGCGTATAGGCTCTCAGATTTTGCCATAACTATAGTTGTTGCTACAAGACTATGTCATCATGAAGGATCTTGTGCATTACTTCGTCTGCCCACAATTGAACGTGATCACAGCTTCTGCTCTATGTTCTCCCATTCATCATCAATCGTGTTTTTTGTCGTTCTAGATTTTATATGTAGGTTTTGCTAACGTTGTTGAACCAACAAATCTTTTACTCCCCGTTGGTAGAGCCTGAAGCTCCCCTTTCCAGCAACTTCACCTCAGACCTGCCTGCCTTTAATGTCATTATCCAAAATCATAAGACTCAACCTTGCATTTGGATTTTTATAATAAATCGATTAGGGCATGTCACACCTGCATTCTTCTCTACACATGAAATACTAAATTCCCCCACCACTAAATGATAAGCGAGAGAAATCAACAATGAGTGAGAGAGAGAGCAGCAAAATAACACAGCACACATCAATATATGTGGGAAATCTAACACAGGGAAAACCATGGAGAAGAATGATATTCCCCACAAAGGGAACACCAAGCTCATCGGACTCGAACTCTACCTTCACCATGTGCATGCCAAAGACCTTTGATAGGAGCGTTTTTGGCCCATACAGCTTGACCCCCAGAAGACTCTGTATAAGCCCATGGTAAATGTAACTCATGGTGATGGTGCTTGTCATCTATCCCAATTACATTGTTTTAGTTTAAACATTGATTATCCTTTTTTATGACCTATTTAACTTATAAGATTCATTAAATATTATATTATATGCAATATTCACCTTTGCATAATATTATAAAATTTTGGAAATTGTACGAAATTGGAAAATGACATTTTTTTTTGGCATGGATAAGAAAATTGGATGCGTTCATCCAAAAGCAAGCAAGGAGGAGCCAACGATAGGGAAGAGTGAATTGGTCCTTCAGGTGGGGTTGAAAGATATTTTAACACCTGTAAAATTTATAAAATATCATTAAACCAGCTACTAGAACGAGGTGAGAGAACACATGGACAAACACGCAGTTTGTCCAGATAAGCATACTGAACATATAATATTATCCCAAGATAATATTCGGAGCATAGTGAACATTCATATCCACATAATAGGAGGAGTCAATCCTCCTAATCAGGCATCAAATACCTTCCAATACATGTCGGTGGAGAAGGCACCGTCATCCCTACCTAGTCCCAACTTGACGTGAACCCACCTCCCGAACGGAAACAAGAGAGTAATTGAGAGAGAAAAAGCGTCGGACGGAAAAGGATGAGAGTTCGATCCCACCGCATCGCATCAATCTTGATTCACCTGTTTATTAGTCATAGAAATTTTCTTACTTCTCAGGTTTGTGATCTTTAAATAAAGATTCTAAGTTCTTTTATGTTGAACCATCCGAAGCAGATTGGCGAGCAGAATCCCACAAGCATTCTTGCGACAGTTCAATTGTACCCACAGCTGGGGATGCCAACAGCATTTATGTAGGCAGAAAAACAGTCACGAATTTATTAGCAGAGAGAGGGAGCAAGAGGGGGGTGGGAGGGGAGAGAGAGAGAGAGAGAGAGAGAGAGAGAGAGAGAGAGAGAGGAGAAATGGATCGCACGTAAGTTCGGACCAGAAACTAGTTGAGAGTGGAGGATTTATGGGCCAGCCGCCGGCAGCTTCTCAGCCTCCTCCGTGTGATACTTGAAGCGGTGGCACAGCACCGTCTTCGGGTCGCACTTGCCATAGTAGTAGCCACCGAGCTGGCACAACTCGTCGCAGATGTGAGTCCCGGCATGTTCCGTTCCAGCAAGGACAGGAAGCTGGGATCACCTGCGTCCGTCTCCTTCCCTCTGCACTCACTAATGGAACCATGCCACATCCAGACACGTCTTAGAGCAAGAAGAAAATGGCAGGGATTTCTTCTACAGGTCACGGGACTTGCCACCTGATGGCAGAAGGACCGTTATCAACAGGAGGGAGCAAGGAGGAGCCCGACCCTTCATAGTCTCCATGGAAAGAGAGAGAGAGAGAGAGAGAGAGAGAGGTCGCAGCACCGTTAATATAGTAAGGTCGTGGGTGACATATATATACATATGTAAGGGCCGGATAAATGGATAGACATACAAGATAGATACACCAGCGAACTTTCGATCGATCCAGAGATAGAGATATTTTCTAATAAATTAGTTACTCAATATGGCAGATTTCCATGTTGGAATATCCAAAGGATGCTGTCTTGCAGTATTGATTCGTAATCTTTGACCAAGATGATGTGTACACCCTGGTCAAAGGAAATCACTTCTCAAAAAATTACTCCTAAGTTTGTTGCCATTCAACGTCGCCCACATCTTGAACAAGTCCTGAAAAATAGTACTCCATTTGGAGAGGTTTTTGTCGAAAAATTATTCCTCCTCCCTTGTAATAGAGAGAGTAGAGTGAACCTTATGACATAAGATCTAGAATAGTCTGGCCTAATGAAACCATGTTCTAAATGAAGAACTAACACACAAAGGTAATTGGTCTATTATATTAATATCGTAATAGGCTTTCTAATTGGTTTCTGTATGATAATGCTGTAAGTCTTAACTCCTAGATCTGAAAATTACTAATAATCACCCAATGTGTATGGGAAAATATAAGAGTTTAGCTATTTAATGTTTTAAACTAATAGAAACAATCAAACACCTCCATTCCAGCTCCAGTTTGACTAAAAAGGGTACAAAATGCATAGACACAAATAAGTATGCCTA